CTCTTTCTTCACTCCTCCCTCTACTCTTTCTTCACTCCTCCCTCTACTCTTTCTTCACTCCTCCCTCTTCTCTTTCTTCCTTCCTCGCTATACCCTTCCTTCCTTCAAGGTCTCCCTTCTCAGGTGGCCAGTTTCTAGTGCAAATCAGACGGCGAATCAGCTATGTCTCATTTCCCGTTGAGCTTGCTCTCGAGCAAGAGGACCAACTGAGCCAAAGACTCGCCCCCCAACAGGATCAGCAGTCGAACTTCTTGGTTCCAGGATCGAAATACTGTAACGACGCGAAATCAAGTATCATTATGTTACTGTTTTTACCTGTCATCCTGCACATTTTCAAGGCTCTCACTAGGCCCTTCCTTGGGTGAGTGCCGCTCAGAAGCGACAAAAAGGCGACAGTCACATTGCAATGCCTCAGCATCCCAAAAAGGCAGAAATGCAAGAAAAATCGACTTTTTTGGTCTCCACCTATTGTATCCTCTGTAGGGGATACAATAGGTGGAGCCCCAAGATTGTCGGATTTTCTTCCAATTTTCATTGCGGCCTGCTCTCCTTCTCTCACACACCCCCTCTCACACCCTCTCTCACACACCCTCTCTCTCACTCTTCATCTCTCTCACACACCCCCTCTCACACCCCCTCTCACACCCTCCCTCTCACACCCTCCCTCGCTCCCTCCCTCGCTCTGCTCTACCATTTCATTCTGCCCCCTCCAATCAGTCCCTCTGCTATTTCTTTCTTCCTGCCTCTGCCCTTCCTCTTTCCTTCCTATGTCTCCCCTTCCTTATCCTGCTTCCTGCCTTCACCCTTCAGTGTCTCACATCTTCCCTTCACGATAACAGAACATCACTGTTGTCTTGTTCTTCTACGCGAGAAAGGAAACTACTTAACCAAGAGAATGAGCTATGTTGCCGTCTCTGAGTTCCGAAAGCCCAAGCTGGACGAGATGAATGACGAGTGTGTCAGTACTGCACAATCCTGCTCCGTATGACAAACAGAACCCGCGTCAGTTCCTGCCACCTTTTCGACGAGGAGTCTCCTCCTGGACAGTTGAATTTTCTCAGTCGACCTTTTGCTCCCATGTCGAGCCGATTGCGGATGGACCGGGTTGGCAAGAAAGGCCCGCTTCCGAAGAGGCTCAGTCAAAATGCCTTTCTCCCAGCATCGAAACGAAGCTCAAGGGCCAGCACCACAATACTGCCCAGTACTTTTATCCGCCACTTCTTCGTGGGTGCCACTTCTGGAGCGATAGAAGACGAACTCCCTAGGATATGAAGGCATTGAGATGGCCCTGAGAATCCCGCAGCAATTGGAAAGTGGAAGAAAAATCGACATTTTGCGGCTCCACCTATTGTGTCCAAATGTCGATTTTTCTTCCATTTTTCATGGCGGCCTGCTCTCTCACGATCCCTCTTCCCCCTCTCGACCTCTCTCTCTCCCTCTCTCTCACACACTCTCTCACTTTCTCCCCATTCGCCCACACACCCTTCTTTCTCACTCGAATCCCTTCACCCCTCTCCCACTCTCACTTTCTCTCTCTTCCCTCACATACTCTCACTCCTTCTCCACCTTCTCTGACTCTTTTCTCTCAACCTACAGTACTTCTTTCACCCTTCATTCTCTCTCTGTCTCTGACCGTACCTGATGGCAAGTACCTACTTCCCAGGACTGGAGGACAGACCGTAGCGTGATTCGATATTAAGCGTAAACTGTTAACTCCCTTCCGCCGTGTCTGACAGGACATAAGTTGAAATGAATCCGCTGGCTCATGCATTTCTCACTATACGCACTGAGCTTATGTGTTGGTGATGCCAACGAGGGAGAAGGGGAAGCAACGCGACATAGACATGGGGCATTTCTAGTAGCTTCTAATTGGTCAAATATTTTATGAAGAGTTGTCGCGAAGACAAATTTTTGGCTCTTGTCGATCGTACTCGTTACGACCCTTATTCGAAGTGGCTGACGAAGTCAAACGGATGGGCTCAATGCTACTTCAAAAGATCATTCGTACACTTGATTTTCATATCGGTAATGCAGTGTGACACGAGCAGTAGGGTATTAACTGAGAGCTCGCCTTAGTCTCCCTGGTTAGTGTTGGCGCAGCCATAGTGAAAGAACTCGACAATGCAGCACCCTACGTTGCGGCCTAGCCGAACTACAAGACAAGTTACAACATCGCACCACTTTCTAACGAAGGGATAACGCCCCGCTTCAGAAGCTGGGTCACAATTGACGCAGAGACCGTAGTGTTTTCTGGAGCAGCCCACATAGAACTGGCTCACTGTCGCCGTGCTTCCATCTATTAAAGGCCGCTTCCCGAACTCCTGGTCTCATGGAAGTCAGTCATTGCCCTCCGATCGTTGGAACTCACATAGCAATGCGAAAACGTCTTGACCGCGGTTCCTTTCCAGGAGTAAATATGGAATTATCTGTATATTCAAGTGTAACCACTGATAGCTTGAAAGAGCTTTGGCATTCGTTCGAGCGAGCATGCATGGAGTCTCTCACCGAGCCGCCGATAGACATCGTCGATAGACTGGCTGCTACACTAGAAGACGCGATATCCTGGCTACGCTCCCAGAGTACCCGGGCTTATTCGCCGCGACACAGAGGCTCCAGTGACTGGCAAGCCCCAAAGATGAGCTTGTCCGAGCTGCCTACGTTGTGTGAGGTAATGACCCAGAGATTGTTAAACATAGTATCACCTGAAAACACTTTCACTGAGAAAGACACAGAAATAACTTATCTCAACCTCAGCCGGGTCGCATCCTTTGCCAGCCGGATCACCTTTAACCCGACCGTACACAGGCTCCATAGATGAGATTGATGCTTCATTGCCGGAAGACTCCATATGGTTGAGATTGGACCAGTCAGAAAAAATTCCGCTAAAGCGAGAAAATAACCAAGAACCCTTGGAAACAGGCGGCGGCGTACCACCGCGAGAAAATGTTCGTTTGGAACGAGGTTTTCGAAAAAGCACGCCAGTGTTGAGACCCTTGACACGCACCACTCGGATTTACGTGGTGCTAGACCTGTTGCTGTTTCTCGCACGACTGCAAGCTGTTACGCTGCTTGCGAATCTCATGAAGCTCGCCCCCGGTCCCATTCCGTTGCCAGTCCCATTTTGGCCAGACCGAATGTCGAGCAAGTGCGCGTAACTAGAGAAGAACAGCCTGGCCAGGCACCTCTGAATGCCACATGTATCACGGAGCACCCAGCATATGGAGGCGTACAACGAGCAGCAAGAGCGTCCCTAAACGAGGAGATTAATAACTATGATAGCGCGGTCAAGGAAGAGAAGGAACGCGGCTCATATTCCGTGAGTGGAAAGAAAAGAGCATGTGCAAGTCGAACGGTTCACTCACCACAAACGACGGCGAAGACGGAGTACACTCCTGAAGGATTGGCTCACCGTTTTGGGAGAAACGATAGGGGTGCGCTCATCTCTACCTTGAGAGAAGAGTGGCAAGACATTACTTCGACGCAGCTTTTACCGGATATAGAAATAACTGTATCGATTGGCATGTCCCAATGCCACAACTTACCAAGCTTCGTCAATGTTGTCCTACAGCAGGGTTGTTTGCTGGAAAGGAGCTCCCTAAGAGGCGAAATCCAAAGCTTGAAGAATCGAATAGACTTTGCACATTACTATCAGCTTTATGCCGCCGCCTCCAATGATACCCGGAAAGGCGCTGACTCTCCCTTCTTGGCTTGGATGCGGGAGTGGTACCGACGACGTGACAGGTCACTGTCCCTAGCGATGGGCCAAGGCAAGGGTGCGTCTACAGTGGTCAAGGATTGTCTTATCGACCTCCATCTCTCTGATTCAAGATTTAAGGGTGTGCCCCCGCGAAACATGAGCTGCAGGGTTGAAAATGGCGTGCCGTCAGTGGATTTTGGTCCGAGCTAATCGAAGGCTTTGGACCTAGCATATTGCTTCTGGCCCCTTCCTATGAGCCAGACTCCCGGTAAGGTCGATGCCATTTTGACGTGCTGTACAGGGTTTTGCGAAATCACAGTAAGACCACTGAGCTGATCGCTACGTAACAGATATGAATTCGGTGAACCCGGACGAAGAGCCTTCCTAACAGCTCTTAACCAGCGGAGGAGTGCCTTCGACGCAATTTTACCTAAAGCTAACCAATTCATGAATGAGAAGTTTCCCTACCAATTTGTGCCTGTGTCTATAGACATATCATTCCCAAATATTCTAACACCAACAGACGATGGATAAGGACATCTGCAGGATAATTAGAAAAGAACTTTGAAACTTGTTTGGAGCTTAGCCCTGAATTTGCAGATCCAAACTTAGGGGTTCGTCGAGTTGGGCATCGCTCCATAACTGCTGCCCGATAGATTTCATCTTAACTTCTGCGTATTCGAGGCTGGTCACAGGCTCCTGTAGATAAAGAGAGAAAGTAACTCAGAAAGCGAATAAGACAAGCTCTTCAATTCTACAATACATTTTCCAGTTACTGTCGAGTCTATAGCCATTCACCTAGAGCCAGACACTAATTCGCAGTCAGCACCTGAAAATTTCACCCTTGGGCCCGTACTTTGTTGCATCTACGTTGAGACATTAAAAATTCCCGTTTATCTCGTAAAACCTCAACATTCTCAGTGGACAATGAAGCGCTAGCCATTCGGTGGTCAAGATGTGTCTCTGCTCGTCGCTGGTCATCACGACAGCTACCGGCTCCCCGGAACTTAAGAAGTGTAGATCTTTCACTTCCACCATCTCTTGCTCCCAGTCTGTTTGAAGAACCTGGCTCATCAAATCGACGTGGAGAGAGAAGTTATCATGATTGATAACTCTCTCCGCCAAGCTACTAGACTTGTTGGTCAATTTTGCCGAAGCCGGTCGACTTGTGTATTAATTAGGCTTGTGGAATGGAAGCGGCGTCAATCCGATGAGGTAATAATGAACAAAAAGGTTAATTAAGCAGTCACTACAGTCTGTCAGCCTAAGTGTACTTTCTTTTATTGGATTTTTAAAAACTCTTTACGGTAGTAGGTTTTCTCTCGGTTCCCAGGTATTTTTGGCATCTCAATAACCTAACCATTTAATTTCATATAACACTTCCTAGCGATCCAGGTCATATTTGGAACGTTTAATGTATTCAACATAAAACTTTTCTAACTGACCTTTTGGGCGTGATTTCTCTGTCGGTGAGCGTTGGTGCTCTTGTCGACCCATGTCGTTTCTAATGACAGGCAGTTAACTAACGAGACTGGCCTGTGTCTCAGATTTGGACCGTTCGAGTAGAATCTCTACGAGACGGCTGCGTAGATTAGGTCGCGTGGACAGCGTGACTGTACTCCCATCGTCGTATCTATAGTCTTTGCCTTTCTGGGCTGTCTTTAGTATTCTGGAATCTGTGGCGTTCGCCATGTTAAAGGCTGCGGAGTTGTTTATCGATCTGTGAGACAGTGATATACTTAATAGTAATGCTACCAATAAGAGCCACGCAATTGGAAAGAAAAAGGCTTGGAAGATTGTGCTGCCCTCTATGCGTCTTGCGATAGTAAGTCGAACCGAGATTCGAGGACACTGTTTAAATACTGTAGAAGAAGGCTAATAATGTATAGATCGTATCATACTATCGACAGATGCGGAGAGGCTCAAACTAGAAGGTATATTTCATCTGGAAGTAAGCACTAGTAGCCATGGTTCTCGCAAATGTTCAAGGCTGTTATATAGAGTACAGTGTTGCTGCCCAATCTTTCTCTGCAACACGAGACGCCACAGTCCAGCAGAACCGGACGCTCCTGGCAAAGGTCGTCATCAGAGTACAATATATCACACGGCTGGCTAGGAAGACATCAAGCAGCTTTACGATTGTCTCTCCTTTACTTTTCAACTTTATTCTGATGTAGTACTGTAGCTCACAAGTCTGATGGCACATATATATGATCTCCCACACGAACTTTTCTTACAGATTGTCCAGTATCTATCAATCAAGCCTTACGGAACGAGTGACTCCTATGGCGACTTATCTGCAATTTCATTGACTTCGAAACGATTTCACACTGTCGCGCAGGAACTAATTTATAAGGCGGTATTCTTGCCTTCTCCAAGGGCCACAATATGTTTTGCTCGAACTCTCTCATAACATCCCGGTATAGGATTGCAGGCTCGATACTTCGAAGCAGGGACTCGCGACGAGCATGTTAGCATCCATGTTATTTTGGGTCCTGGAATGAAACCAACTGTGAATACCACGATAATCACTCAAAAGGAAATCAAGAGATATTTCCTGCCACCACTAAGGAGATAGCATTCAGATACTCCACAGGTGGTCGAAGACCTTCAATCCAACCAAGGTGCCATTTGGATTTCATGCATACTTTCTCAACTGCATCGTCTCACTGAAGTCGAATTGCAGCTCGGAAGATCAGCGCAGTATCTGAACAGATTGGTAAGATGGTCCAGCGCCGAGGTCAAAGGAGGTCCCCCATTTATGAATTTGGTCAGCCTCAGCCTTTTCGCCAACGAGGATGCTGCTGTGGACGTGAAGTATATACTGCGGCTGCCCTCCTTGGAAATCTTCAAGTCCTGGAGTCTGCGTGGGCACTCTCTTCCACAAATGGTCGGCGATATAACCTCACCCCTTCGTTACCTTGAGCTCTTCCATCCTCACATGGATGAAGCTGAGGTCGCGTCATTGCTTCGCTGCTGCCAAGATTTACGCCAGTTCGAATTGCAACCCATTTTAGGAATGACTCCTGGAGTTCCATGGTATCACGCCACAGCAGTGGCACAGGGGATTAGCGCAGGGATATATCACTGTCGACAGAACCTAGAGGTATTAACCATTAACACCTGGACCACCTCTACACCTGCTCAGCCCGTCGACCTCACTGACTATTAACATCTTACCAAGCTCACATTACCAGCAACAGAAGCCGTGAAAATAGAAGATAGTTATAAGCCTCTTACACGAATGGTCTCATTTCCACCGTCGTTAAAATTCTTGATCTTAGTCATGGCCTAGCGTGAAAGAACTGACACTCTTTGCTCGGCACTATATTAATACGTTAAAAACGAACAGGTCTCGCCCGCTCTTAGGATATTAGATATTATCTGGGAGCGCAGTCATACCTATAAGGCCCCTGAAATAAGGAAAGTTGAAAATTCTTGTGCATTTCGTGGAATTGTCTTCAGTTTAAGGCTCTCTTATTAATAGATTCAGGGGCCTAAAAAATGATACTCTCACTGCCCTATGCAGGGCTCAAAGGGCATTATGATTAATAAATAAATGCGAAGGACTAATTAGCCCATTATTTTCAGAAGAGGGCGTCCGCTTCTATTAACCCTCCTATTAATTCTCCTCGATTTCCAGCCCGAAAATTGTCCATCCTTTAAGTGCTTAATAAATACTATACTATCTCTTAGCATAAATAAAACCTATTATGTATGTCCATATAGGAACGTACAATATAACAGAACTATGGAAGGACTAAAAGTTATCACTTATCATTTGAGAATGCCCCTAGTAAGGGTAAGATAAAAATAGAAAGACAATCTAAAGGGGCTCCTTTTTGGAATTACCATAAACCTATCCTGAGAATGACCCATTAATGAATAGTTATCTTTACTCTCCCCCGAGGATAAGCAAGAAAGATGATCTGGTCCCTTACTGAAGTTATCTTTGAAGAGCTCTCACTCTCTTCTTAATCCCTTTATAGTATTAAGGCTTAGATTGCATTACAGTACTTCTTAAAACGTACTCATACTTTTACTATAACTATTAATGAATTCGTGAAGCGGTAATCTAGAATGATTTAACCTTACCTAACTTCTCCTACTGTATCTACATTCTTACCTACATTATCAGAGTTTCGAGCCTGCTAGGAGTCTAATTAATAGGGAATGCTCTTTCCCACCGGACAATTCGTGACTAAACTGTCATTCTATGGACGACATATCGCTAACTCTTCTTACCGGGGAAAGGATCTCCTCCCTCATACGCTTGTCCCGCTTTAACTGAGAAGTGCTTAAGGATGTTTAAGTTACCCTTCTTCGGGTTAAAAGCTTACTATACTAATATTTAGGAACACACTCTCCTAGCTATAGCTTAGCTACGGGTAAATTAGTTAGCCCTAACACGTTAATTACGAGTGACAAAATCACCACGGATAAGTCTCACCTTTCCACTAATTTTCACACTATAGTGTTAAGCTAAGGTAACCTATCTATCCTTCCTTCTAACAGAGATTTCGATACACTAGTAGTTAAATTAACCCCTTTATCTATGAATACTATCACCATAATAGGCTAATTCTTTAAGTATAATCTCTACGCCGCGGATTAAACAGCACTAGTAAATATGCCCTTATAGCAAGAAAACATATAAAGGAAATGCGATTAGGGGTATAGCTAAGTTAACATTATTTATGAGGACATAGATAAGAAGGACTTCCCTTAGGAAGAGAAAACCACGACATAAGGAACCTAAGCTTTTATTACTTAGGAGGCAAGTTATATTAATAATGTAAGCGCTAATAAGTGCACCTAAGCGTCACTAAATAGAGCATAATCTTACTGTAATAAAGAGAAGAGCTAATATTCCTAGTGATTAATTGGCATATAGTTAAGAGTGAAAAATAACGGAAGTGTTAGGTGCGCTATAGTTATGAGATAGGTGCGAGGCTATAGCCCCTAACGCTAAAAAGCTTAGCTTAGCGATTAATCACAATCTATAGATTATCTATAAAAATTTCTATTAATGCGTATAGGCCCTAATGTATTATTACTATATAAATAGGTAAGGCACTAGGTATAAGTGAAAGGGATTAAAGGCCAAATTATGAAATGTAAAATCTAATACCTTAAACCTAGTGTGTCCGGACATGTTTTCTCTATTGAGCAGGCTAAGAGAATAATATAAGACTTATACCCCACGAAAA